GAGGATTGAAAGCAGTAGGCTGAACACAGTCCCCCACATGGAGTCCTAGGGATTTCCTGGTTGTTCTCTGAAGTGAGGGTTTTTTAGAGGATGGTGCCACCTGCATTGGCAGGTGTTATAATTTAGAGGCTATAAGGTTGTTGGTGTGTCAGGGCCCTGGCTGTGTTTGTTAAATGATCAGTATCCTATTAGGGCTGGTTTTCTTCTGTTGCAACCTTGCTGTGATCCTTTGGTATCTTGCCAAAAATGAAATAAGCCTCCTTCAAATTCCCAGGACAGGTGTATTTAGGATATCAGCTGTGGCCAAGTATGGACAAAGAGGCCGAAGTCCCCAAGGGAAGCTTTATTGGGTGTGTCTGCTGAACCTGGGTTGGAACCATGCACAAACACCCCTTGTTAGGTTTTGATCGGACACCCTTTGGAAATGATGGAATGGTGATCTGCCTGCCAGTGGAGTTCAATGTCATTGTCAAGCCTGTTGTCCAGAGGGGCAGCTTCCAAGATTTCTTTAGAAATATTCAATGCTGAACTGATCTAACTCATTGGAATGGAGAAATAGAAACCAAGAATCCTTCCTCCTTTCAGTGCCTGTTTATTGGGGCCATTTCCCCTTTAGTTGGCAGGATGGTACTCAACAGAATGTGCTGTGTGGTTGTTAAAGTTCTAAAACTATTTTTTTTAGTGAAATATAAACCATATACTATGCAATTTATTCTTTTTAAAGTGTGCAGCACAGTGTTTTTTAGTATATTCATTAGGTTGTGTAACCAACACGATTATCTTAATTGCAAAATAATGAGGTTAAATTTTGACTTGAATTCTTTGAATGAAACACAAATCAAAGGTCAACTCGCATTCTCAAGAAACCTGTTTAAAAATCTTTGGTGCCTCTTGCAAATGAACCTAAATTTTTATTCAGATATTATTTGAAAAATAAAACAAATAAATAGACAAAAAAAAAAAACAGAATAAAGAGAGGGCACTAGACTTTGGAGAGAGGGAGTTTTTTGTTTTTATTTTGTACTGGGGATTGAATTCAGGAGCTCTCAACCACCGAGCCACATCTCCAGCCCTATTTTGTATTTTATTTAGAGTCAGGGTCTCACTGAGTTGCTTGGTGTCACACCATTGCTGAGTCTGGCTTTGAACTCGTGATCCTCCTGCCTCACTCAGCCTCCCGAGCCGCTGGGATTACAGGCATGTGACACCATGCCTGGCAAGAAGGAGGTTTTTGCTTTATTTCTTTTCTTTCTGCTGTTGATGATATTTAAATCTTAGGTCTTCGGGTTGGAACTTTGTTATAGTAAAGAATATTAAAAGCAAAAACAAGACTTTCTTTGCTTTCTTGTCTTTCTCCTTTGTCAAGCCATGTTTCATTGGGATAGGGCTTCGACACTGTCTTGTTCTCTTTTGTCACCATCATCTAGTACCTGTCATACAGGATGGGTCAGTAAGATTTACTGAACAAATAGGCTCTATTGGGTCATTTTTGGCATGGGACTCCAGGTAGTTGGTGCTGGGGGAATTTTTCATATTCCCAAGACACAGCTGCTTATAGAAGGTAAAAGCTTGATATTTTCCCATGCAATTCTAGGAAAAGAACTTCCAAGGGCCCCATCATCCCTGCAGCTCTTAGGACTTCTCATCCAACTGTGAAGTGGATTTGGAAAGCCTTCTTGAACTGGCGTGGTGAAGCACAGTGTGGGTGGTGTGAGCCGTGTGTCTTGGAGTGTGCACACATGTGCACGTGCATACTTGCCTGAGCACACAAGGGAACTGGGAGGCATTCCTGCATGTTTTTATAAATTGCCCCTTTCTTCTTTCTGCCCCTGTGGCTTGTTGGTAGGCCAGGGTGCAGAGTGGCCTCTAGTCTGGGCACACGGCCCAGGCGTGTTGGCATTCAGTGGCCTATTGTTTTCTGCCCCTTATATACATGGACAGAGGACCGGGGCTGGCACAGCTGCCTTCTTGGGGACCATTGTTTGTCTTCGCAACAGCAGCAATAGTAGTGGCAGCAGCAAAGCCTGAAGTGACACATTCTGCTTGGGATAGAACAGCCGTTCTGTCTTGGAGCTGTAGGCCTTGGAGTGGGGGTTGCTCGAGTGTCCCTTAATTTTGCTGTGTGGATGTTCTGAGGCCAGTAGCAAAGGGGGCTTCTCCTTCGAGGGGAGTTGTGGGGGAGGGAAGATGCTCAGTGGTGTCATATCACACATAAGTCACAGTGGCAGGTGCTATCTATTAGCAGAGCCTCTTCTTTTCCTGAATTGGGGTGTGGATGTCGCTTTCTCCCTTTCTCTGTCCTCTGGACATACTGACACACCACAGGACAAGAAAAGCACTTCCTTCAAAGCTGTCCTGGAAGGAAGAAGCATGGAAGGGATCCAATCCATTTGTGGATTAGTCAAAATATGGGTTAGCTCATGAGTTCATGGACTACTGCACACTCGATGCTGGGATTCCGAATTACTCCTCAACTGGTAGGTGGGGAAGGTGATAATCTAGGGCCAAGAGCCATAGTCCTAGACTTACCCAGAAATGACTATAGAGACTCCACGCTGGGGCTCTATTTCTTTTGTTTCTCTGCCCCATCATCAAGCTCTTTGATAAATCAGACAAACATTAATTTAGTTTTAGCCATGTGCCTAATTATGTGACCCTTTAGTATATTACTCACTGATTCTTAATTTCAGTTTCCTCTTCTGAGCAGTTGGGATAATTAGAGATACCTTATAGATTAGGCTTGAGAATTAAATGAGATAATGTATATGCAAGTTTATATAATGTGTCCAGTAAACACAGTCACCCTTCCCAGAAGCGTCCAGAGAGGGTGCCTGAGGATGGGCTGCAGTTTGTGCTATGCTGCCCACTCACTGAGAAAGTCAGGGTGGGAATCCAACTGGCTAGGTGTGCTTAGTGGGTGTCTTAGACTAATTCACATGTCTTAGAGGTCCCCTATGATGTGCTTGGTCCTTGGACAGAACAGCCCTGGAGTGGCCTACTTCTGGAACTTCATGGGTATCATAGGACTTTGCCTAGAGTTTCTAGAACAATCTGTTATGTTCCTTTCTACCCTTAGTTAGTGAGATTACTGAAGCAAAGTTTTGGGTGAAACATAGGTGACCCTCAGGGGCCTAACAGCCTCACTCCCCTTCCATTTCCCCTTGTACCTTTGCTCCTGATTAGGTATCCAGAGAGCCATTTTACCTTAATAGGTAGTTCTTAGGTAAGGAACAAGTTCTAAGGACTATCAAGGAGTCTTTTGGATGCTACCTCTACCTAGTCTGCTTGCCGCATGGCTACCACTGCTAGCTTTTCTTTAAGACAGAAGGGGGCCAGATGCCTCTAGGAAGCAGTCTTGACAAGGGCTTTACCTTTGAGACTCAGAAATCCCTGGCAAAAACCAGGTGCCTGATATGACCTCTGCAGATCTTTCCCCCTAGTACCCTTGTAATCAGACTCCAAAATACACAGAACAAGAGAGCTTTGATGAGTGATGACCTAGGTGGCTTTTCTGTGCAGCCTTCTGTCGGCTTGAAACAATCCTCTGGTGCTCAGTTTCAGTTCAGGTGAGGTTACTGTAGTTCTGGGTGACGTTGTGATTGGCAAGGGGGAGGCCTGGGGATGAAGAGGATGAACTGCCGGATCTCCCACAAAGGATCAGATATGAGTATGTTGCATACTGATAGCTATAGAAACAGAAAACCAAAATGAAGATGGGGCTAGATTATGGCTCCCAAGCTATGCCAAGGCAAAGCCAATTGCACCCTTACCCATCCTTGTTGCTTTAGCATTATGACCCCAGTACCAGATTTGCCACTGAGTTATTTGCAGCTCACCGTCATATCCTAATATACTTGGAGCTGAGCATGCCTACGGGGGGAAGGGATCAAAGAAATGGCTCCATTCTGACTGAGATGGCGCTTGGGACATAGCATCAGCAGGATCCACGCTGCAGGCCTTCTCTGAGCTGAAAAGCACTCTGGTGTTGGCAGGCTGCTTCCCGGGAGTGCCAGGTCTCTTGTCAGTAAAACATGCAGTGTTGCATTCAAGGCAGATCTGGTTGCATCTGGAGCTGCCATTGCTGCAGTTCCACAGAGACAGTGTGTGCTAGCCCTGTACAAGGACAGACTAGCCAGAAATCTGCCAGGCTAGAGCTTAATCAGTAATGTTTCTAGCTCTGACATAACAGCTGCTTTGAGGCATCTTCCATGAGGATGAAGCAGCAGAGATATAAATGGTATTTGTTGTGAAAAAGATCTCTTTCAAGTCAACTCTTTTTTTTTTAAAGCTATTTATTTATTTTGGTGCTGGGGTTCAGACCCAGGGCTTCACAAGTGCTAGTTATACCCCAGTTGCCAATTACATCCTGTGACATTAAAAACTATGAAATGATTGATGTTGAATGGTTTGCTTGCCCAGAAGTCATGGTGCTTGTTTCGTTCTTGATGGTCACCATTTGACAGGTCCCTTTCTACCACCATTAAAATATCCTGACCCTCATCTTAGTATATGAAGATGCTGAAAGACATTTTGAAATGATGGGGAAAAGTATGAAAAGTAAAGTTAGTCTATCTGGGTTTGAACCCCTGATTTACTACTTACTAGCTTGTCTTCTTCAAGACTTGGTATTCTCATCTTTTAAATGGGAATATGGTAGTACCTACCTCATAAGGTCAATAATTTATTTGGACTCTTTTGCTAGAGGAGGATCCAAATTTTGGCACTATGTCAGAAACTCAGTAAAATGGTTAATAATTTTAGCTCTGAATATTATTATGTCCAATAAATATTTCTCCTAAATTATTCAGCAGATTTCTGATTCACAGTGTTCATCAATGGTCCATAAAGAGTTGGAGTTAGGGGATATGCCTCACATTACTTTAGGCTTTTTGATGAAGGGCTTTGAATTCCCCAGGGGACAGGAAACAAGAAAATGATCAGGGTGTGCAGTATGTTTTTCAGGGCTGTCCATCTGACTGTTTTCCTTTGTTTTGTGGCAGAGATCCGGGCTCAGCTCACAGAGCAAATGAAATGCCTGGACCAGCAGTGTGAGCTCCGGGTGCAGCTGTTGCAGGACCTGCAGGACTTCTTCCGGAAGAAGGCCGAGATTGAGATGGACTACTCCCGCAACCTGGAAAAGCTGGCAGAGCGCTTCCTGGCTAAGACACGTAGCACCAAGGACCAGCAATTCAAGTATGGACTCCATGGTTATGACCTTTGCTTTTAAAGTCCTTGAGAGTGGGATCTGGGGTGGAGGAAGACTGAAGATGCCACTTAGATCCAGTTGGATTCATGAGCCAATGACTTCAAATTGATCAAAAGCCTCAAGGACTTTCCCTTTTTCACATTAATCTTACATGTAATGTGTAGTTCTCCATCTTGTAGAGATCTGACTAGAGGATGAGCCATGCTAATAACAGTAAACTTTTTTTGTAGTTCTAGGGATTGAACTCAGGTGTGCTCTACTGCTGAGTAAGTCCACATCCTTTTTACTTTTTATTTTGAGACAGGTTCTTACTAAGTTACTGAGGCTGGTGTTGAACTTATGTTCCTCAGCTTCTGCACCTGGCCAGTAAAGACTTTTATAGCCATTTCTATGTGTCAGTCATGGTTCTAAGGGCTTTGCATGTATGTCAGCTAACTGAATGCACATAATTTCATTTGTTTGGATTGTTATTACTCCTTGTTTACATGTGAGGAAGCTGAAACATAAAGAGTTTAAGAAAATTAATCCAGATCACATACACATATCCCTAATAAGTCGTAGAGCTGGAATTGAAATATAGGCTGGCTGGGTCCAGTTTCTGTACTCAACCATTTCATCAAACCATTTTTTAAAAAAATATGTTTATATGTATGGACCTTTATTTTATTCATTTATTTATACGTGGTGCTGAGGATCGAACCTAGTGCCTCACACATGCTAGGCAAGCATTCTACCACTGAGCCATAGCCTCAGCCCTCATCAAACCATTTTTAATCATAAGAAATGAATGATATAGCCAAACAGCTAGATCTATGCAGTTACTAAGGTCTATTCCTTCTACATTTACAATCTTTTATGCACCTGACCCCTTTACTCTGTTCACATTGCTGTTCTCTAGTTTAGAGCATCATCTTTTGATTGAATGATTGCAATACCTACTCTGTTATCCATAGCAGAGGTTTTCAAACCTGACTGCATCTCAGAATTTCCTGGATAACTTTTTTTTTTAATATTCATTTATTTATATGCAGTGCTGAAAATCAAACCCAGGGCCTCACACATGCTGGGCAAGTGACCTACCATGAACCACAACCCCAGCCCTTTTTGGATAACTTTTTGCAGTTCTAGAGTGTGGTCTCCTATTCTAGAACAATTAAATGAGAATCTGAGGAGGGGGGCCTGGGTAATAGGATGATGTAAAAGCTTCCCATCCTGTGAAGAGCCACTATTGAGGTTCAAAGTCTACAGCTTCTCCCCATTCCAATCTGCTTGGTCCAGATATGATCAGATTTAGAATTACTGGAACACACTGAGGATTGAACCCAGTGCCTCACACATGCTAGGCAAGCGCTCTACCACTGAGCCACAACTGAGGATGAGACAGTTTCTGTTGCAAAACTTTTAATGACTCCCTATCATCTGTGGTGTGGTCTTCCATCTGCATCATCTGGGTTGTTAGAAATTTAGGGCCTCAGGCCCCACCCTAGACTTACTCTAGAAGATCCTCAGGTGATTGGGGAGTCTGTTGAAATTCAGGAAATACTTCTTGGGCTGGGGTTGTAGCTCACTGGTAGAGTGCTTGCCTAGCACATGTGAGACACTGGGTTCCATCTCAGCACCAGATTTAAATAAATAAAATAAAGGTATTGTGTCCATCTACAACTACAAATATTTTAAAAAAAAGAATAGAAGAAGTGTTTGTCTATTCACAAAAGGGCACACTTCTTGGTTTGTCCTTCAAGCCCCTCTACATCTGGCTCAATTAATGTTCCACCTTGTTTCTTGTTTCTGGTCCAGCATACATTAGCCAAATAGATCATTCACTCCAATGGGCGGCTCCTATCTGTTAATTGAGCTTATGAGCTCATTTTTCACATCTCTGTGTGTGTAAGTCATACCCAAGTCATGAGACCCATCTAAACTGCTCCCTAAGAAACATTAGTTATTCTCTCAGAAGAAAGAATATTCTCCATATACTAAATTCTTAAAACATTTTATTCATTCTTAGGACATTCAGCACAGTCTACCTGTATCATCTTCTCTTAGTGGACTACACAATCTTGTTTTGATTCATTTTTCAGTGTCCCACTGTGTGTAGCAGAATATGTGGTATAAATAGATGCTGAGTAAATATTGTGGAATGAGTAAATGAATGAGAATTTTAAGAATTAATACCTAATAAATAAATCAGCTATTGTCATATTAAAAAAATAATTAATGCCAAGTCTATATTATTCCCCCTATTTTAAATTCTTCTATATTCTCCAAATAATAGAAGGCAGAAATTATCCTCTTTAAGCCAGCTTTGAGCAATGAATATGGAAATTAAGATGGAGAAGAATGTATGACACTCTCAATACCAGCCAGAATAAGATTTTCCTCCAGATGTTTTCTCCTATCAAAGTCCCTCATCTTTCCCCAATTCTGTTCTTTTTATGATAAGAGTCACATGTCTATCTCAACAGGAAAAAAATTAAAAACAAACAAAAAGATAAAAGATTCATCTGATAATAAAATATTATTTTAGTATATGATAAATGAAGACGTGGGGGAGGAATCATTTGCTTTAGAAAATGGTTTAAAGTTGGATTTATTTGGTTGGTGAGCTCCTCCTAAGTTTAAAATAGCATTTAATTTTTAGCATTATATCATATTCTCATTTAAGTACATTTATAAATTATAAATTAGGATACAGATGTGTTAATCTCTAAGTCCGACTTGCTTTAAGATCACATATAAGGAATAGGATGTTTTTTTTTTTTTCCAAGACTCAAGAAAACTGATTCCCTTTTGATAAAGCTGGTACCTGTGTTATTTTTTTCTTATATAGCCAATGAATATTTACTAAGAGCCAGTTCTGTGTTCAGTATTGAACAAAGTATTGGAAGAGACAACAGAAGTGTATTGTATATATACATAGGGGGTCATATCTGGTTGGAAAGAAGGATTTTGAATATAGGAAGCAGAGGATAAAGCAATATGCTCTTCTTAAGAAATCTTTGGTGTTATGTAGGACATAGATATGATAAAAGATCAGAAATACATCTCAGAGATACAGGATCTAGAATATTCAGGAGAGTTTTTATGAAGCATGTAGGACTTAGGTTAGATTTTAAAGGCAGATTTCTGTAGAAAAAGAGAACAGCATGAACAGGTGAGGGGAGACAGGGATATTTGGTGGTGAGTGAGTGTAGGGACTAGTGTGGGATCCAGGCAAGGTTCTTCTTACACATTCATTTAACTAATCCATTGCGTATTCCTTAAACTCCTTTATATGCCTTGGGATATAGCAGTGAATAAGCCCTACCCCGTCCATAAGGCACTTACAATAGAATGAGGAAATGGGCATTAATCAGATAACTCCATTAGGTATATTGTTTAAAGTGGGGTAGGTATTAAGGGAAGAAAAAGTACAGGGTGGTACGAGAACCTAGAAGAGGGGGACTTCTCCACTCCTCTGTCCATCACATTATGGTGGTTTATACCAATAACTTCCCTCTGGTCTTAGTCTGAGTTAGTCTACATAATCAACATACCTTTTTATAAACCTACCGAGTACTGTGCACTGTGCTGATTCCTTTGGAGACTAAAATAAGCTTTGGAATTCTTACTTCAAAAGAAAGAGAGTTAGATTTTCTCCCCCTTACCAGGCAGGTAAAAAGATGGAACACCTGTAGGATAGTGTTGTCTGATGGAACTAGAAATGTTTCAAGTAGAAGACTGATAAAAGTTCTTCCCAGTGATTTCTTATCGATAATTTCATGTATAAGGCATCATGAGAGATGCAAAGATGTGATCCCCAAGCCCAGGAGCTTTCTATCTGTTAATTTCCTGTTTTTAAGTGATCAAATGTGGTCACGTGATAACAATTTCACATGGTACAGCCTAATAAAGAGTTGATACATACATATAAGTGCATTTAATATAGACAAGATGCTAAGAAGCTGGATAAGAGAGATCCAGTCAACACCCTACTTTCATACATGATTTATTCCTTAAGATAAGTCAAACAGGTGAAAGTCTAACTGCAGTTTTATGTGGAGCAGGTGGATTGTAATATTATAAGTACATATGTGAAATTCTGAATTATATTTCACCTGATAATTTTTCAGTATTTTGTACCTTATATTTTCTTCACAATTAAACCCACAACCTACCTGCTTAAACCCTTGAACATCTGAAGAGTCCCCGTGGCTGATTTCTACCTTTGTCTTATGTGTTGAGTCCTCTACTTCTCAATACAACACTAGGAAATAACACTTTCATTTTTCCATTTTCCACTCATTTTGTGTTGAGTAACCAAGGTGCTTGCATAGTACAAGCATTGCTGCATAGAGAACCTTGCTGTTGAAATCAAACAGGCATTTGGCAAGTGACACCACCAGGCCATACTTGACACATTTTTTGGCAACAGAAAATTTGGCCTTTTGTCACAGGAAAGGTATTTTAGGTATGTCTGATTTGGTTAACATATAAGCGTAGCTGCTGTAACAGACACTGAGTAATAACTTGCACATGATAGAGGTTTCCTTTCTCTGCATGTAATAGTTTGAGTGTTAGCTATCCAGAACTGTTTCAGGCTCCTTTTCCGTCTCCAGAGAGCTGTCCTTGTCTGTATGACTCAAGATGGCTCACTGCCACTATATCCCCATTCAAACCAGCTGGAAAGGCAACAGGGCAAAGGGAAAATATGTCTTTATTCTTTAAAGATGCAGTCTGGAAGTGGCACATACATGCCTTCAGCTTACACCCTGCTGGCCAGACTTGGTCACGTGGTTATGCTGAATTGCAAGGGAGGCTGGGAAATGTAGTTATTGCTCTGAGTGATTAGAAAGCAGAGTTTTCTATTAATATATAAAAGTAGGGGAAATGTATTGGAGAACAGTTAGCAGTATCTGCCACAATATTCATCTGTGATCTGTGAAAGGGCAGGTGCACAAAAGAACATGGCCACCCAGCCATATAAAGGGCTTTGTTCTGGTTGTAG